ATTTTTTTTTTTGGTCTGACCTTACCCTAGGCTTGTCAGTCAATATTGATTTTTTAAAAAGGACAATGATGAGTTGAAACGTTTAAGGACCTATCAGTAGAGATGGTAAGAAGACAGCGCAGAAGGGGGCAGGGCTGAGACTCAGGGCAGACAGAGCCTGCTCCCCCCGCCTCCTGCTGTCTGCGGGACACCCGGAGCCCTGGGGCCCTGCTCCTGCCTGACCACCTGCCTGCTGGCTCCTCACCATCTGGCTTCTGGGGCTTCTTCAGCTCCCACTGCCCCCCAGAGGGAAGGCTCATCCACACCCACCTGGCCCTGGTGACGTCAGCAGCGCTTCCCCTGCACACCCTGTCCAGCTGCACGTAGACCGAGCAGTTGACCCGGCTCCACTCGGGGTCACAGATGGCCAGGAAGTTGGGGCGCAAGCAGCCGATCGTGTACTTGGCCAGGTCAGTCAGAAACTGGCTCATGGCTGCCCCGAACAGGAAGGTCCCCAGCACCTTGTACACGGCAGCCACATAGTTGTTGAAGTTGGAGCGGGAATAGAGTCAGTCGGCGTGCACCAGGTAGGCTTCTCCCGCCGAGACCTCCCCGTGGGGCAGCTGCAGCGACCAGCAGGGGTCCCGGTCAGCCCATGGGCCCTCACTGGGCCTCAGTCCTCCCCACGGGCCTCCCCAAGGCTGCTGCAGAGCTGGGGACTCTAAAGGGGCCCTAGCCAGGCTCGGTGGCTCACGCCTGTAATCCCAGCACCTTGGGAGGCTGAGGCGGGCGGATCACCTAAGGTCGGGCGTTCAAGACCAGCCTGACCAACATGGTGAAACCCCATATCTACTAAAAATACAAAACTAGCCGGGTGTGATGGCGCATGCCTGTAGTCCCAGCTACTGGGGAGACTGAGGCAAGAGAATCACTTGAACCCAGGAGGCGGAGGTTACAGTGAGCAGAGACCCTGCCATTGCACTCCAGCCTGGGCAACAAGAGCGAAACTCTGTCTCAAAAAACAAAAGGGGGTTCCTATTACCCACAAGTACCACTCGGGGCAAGGCTGTGTCCCCCAGCCCCCCACAGACCTCCATGCCACCCCCCATCAGGAGCCCAGGGTAAGGCTATACCCCTTCCCGCCCCCCTCCCTGTCCCTCTGAACCCCTCCTGCCTTACAAGGATGATGGTGGCTGTGATGGTGACCCCGGCCATGAGCCCATGGGTGATGGTGTCTGGATGGTAGGGGTACCGGACGGAGTCATCCCCGCAGTAAAATCCTTGCTTATATGGGGCGTTCACCAGCGACAGGACAGCGAAGGGCAGGGACGCTGGAGGGGGAGAAGAGCCTGGGAGCTTCAAGGTTCTCCAGCCGGCTGGGCCGTGGGCCCCCCACACCTGCCCTGCCTCGAGGCCTCGCACCTCTGCTCCCACCGACAGCAATGAAGAGCTCTTCTCACAGCATATGGGGGGCCCAAGCGACACCCCTTTCCCATCGCCCTCAGATGAGCACGAACTCCCCAGGCCCTCTCCCCCTCACACCCTCCCCTCTGCTCCTCGAACAAACGGGGCAAACGCTCACCTCAGGGCCTTTGCACAGGCACTTCTCTGCCCAAAGTATCTTATTTTTATTTTTAAAAGTAGAGACGGGTATCATGTTGACCAGGCCGGTCACAAACTCCTGGGCTGGAGCGACCCCCCAGCCTCAGCCTCCCAAAGTGCCGAGATCACAGGTGTGAGACAAAGTGCCAGGCAGCAAAGTGACTCTCACTTCCGCTCAGTTTCATCTCCCCTCCCGGCTGTCCACACCGGCATCCCTCTCACAAAAGGAAAGGTCGGTTTAGCCGGGCATGGCGGCGCGTGCCTGTAATCCAGCTACTCGGGAGCCTGAGGCAGGAGAGTTGCTTGAAACCGGAAAATGGAATTTGCAGTGAGCCGGGATCACGCCACTGCACTCCAGCCTGGAGACAGGGCGAGACTCTGTCTCAATTTATAAAAAGAAAATAAATAAATAAATAAAAATAAAAGGGAAGGTCTGCTCTTTTTCCCTCTTGTCCCATGTGGAATTATGCAGTCACCTGTGGGACACTGGACTTAATCTCCCCCACTCCACCCACCAGCACCAGAAGGGGCCTATTGTGTTCAGGACAGAGACCCTGGAGGCTGCTCAGAGCCTGGCCAGGGCAGATGTTTAATAAACATCTGTTAAAACAGGCGGGACTTATTTCAACCTAAGAGCTGGCCAGAGAAGTCAGGAAAGGGCCAAAGCAGGGGCACAGCGGAGGTGCCTTCATGCTCGCCCCTGCCCGTCACTGACCCTCATGCCAGGGCACATGCCAGCCACACAGTGACTCAGGGATCAAAGGCACATTCTCCTGAATTCCACACTTAGGGAAGGTGTCACATGGCACTGGGGCTTCCAGGGCCCTGCTGAGCCGAGGGTGGCCAGGGAAGCCGGCGTCAGCTACAGAGAGCAGAGGCGGGGGCAGCTCCCTGTTCCACGCGGCAGGTGCACAGCAAAAGGGCGGGGTGTCTACCCCAGAGAGAAACGAAGGCAGGGCGTCCTTTGGCCCAGCAGGGCAAGGACAAAAGAGTGTGGCTCTTCTGAATTCTGAGAGTCTGAGGAGGAACAGGGAGCCTCACACTCCTCCCTGCATGCCAGCTGCAAGGGTCCTAGGACACGGCACGCCTTCGATGCTGGCTGAGTCTGGGGCAATAATGCAGTGAAGACAGCAGAGATCTGCCTCACAGGGCAGAGGGAATGCAGAACAGAACGGGCAGCGCGGGGGCTCGGAGCCGGCATGGTGCCTGGAGAGGCGAGTGCTGGGGCAGAGGGGGCTGCCATGTAAGAGCCCGGCCTCTGCTGGGGCGCAGGGGCGGCTGGCGCCACTGTAAGTGAGGGCAGAGACCAGGGAGGAGGCTCCTGCAATTGCCGCGCAGTGGAAGGTCAGGGTCACAGGACTCCAGCCGCTCCCGCGGCTCTCAACAGGCGGAGGCTCACACCGGTAGGCCTCCGTTTCCGACCTCCCTGCCCCAGTAACTCCAGCTAGAGACTCAGACACCCCCATGACAACCGCCCCGGGCTTCCCTCTGCCTGGAAAGCTCGCCCTGGGGTCCCCGGAACAGGCGCCTTCTCTTCATTTGACCCCCGGGAGGCTTCCCACCCTCAAGCTGCCCCCACAGCCCTGTCTGGAACCTGTGGACTGCACTGCGATGGGCCGGAGCTCCCAGAGGGAGGTGCCCTCGGCGGGGCCGCCACCCCTGGGCACACAGCAGCCACACCCAACCCCACCTCGGCGGCACCTCCCGGCTGTGTGGCCTCCAGCGGGCGACTCTGCGAGGCTGCACCTCCCTCACAGGCCGCTGTAAGGGAACCGTTTCCGTTATCCGCATGCTGCTGAGCGCCTGGCATCCAGAAAGAGCCACACACATGTTTAAGTAACTGACAGCACAGCTGCTCAGGACATGGCACCCAGGGCTGGCAGACACCCTACGGGGACCTCGTGCTGTCCCCTTGCCCTCCCTAACGAGGGTCTACTTCGGAAGTCAGAGGGCTTGGCCAGAGAACCAGGAAACGGGCTGGGGAGGAGCTCACCCCCGCCCCCCCCCCGTGGTGACAGAACTGCGGGGGGGGGGGCATTGTCCCTTCAGCCACAGAGCAAACACTAGGCCTTTGTTCCCGGGACCCTGGGGGGGCCTCGGGGCACCGATTACCCCATCTGGCGGAAAACCCGCAGGACAGGTTTGGGTCTCCCGAGGCCCCGAAGCCTGGGACCCAGCTTTTCTCTCCAAGTGTCTTCCCCACCCAAGGCGCAGGGGTTCAAATCCCACCGACGCGCTGAGCGCCAGGGCCGGGTCAGCCCCTCCGCTAGCACCCAGAGCGCCCACCCGGGGGCAGAGGCGCCGATGTCCTGGGAGATCCGTGGCCGCTCCCATCCCCGGGGCTCGCCGCCCGCGTGAATCACCGCCCAGGCCCAGCGCGGCGGGAGGGAGGTGAGCTCGGCCCCTGCAGGGCCACTTCCTGCTGCCGGGTGGGGAGGCAGCCCCGGCGCCCCGGGCGCTTCAACCAGATGCGGGGACCCCGAGGCCTGGCAGGTGCGCGCTGCGCGGCGCATGGAGAGAGGTGCGGCCTCCGGGGTCTGCGGAGGGACGAGGGCTCACAGCTTCCCGGTCGCTGCGAACCTGCGCAGAGCCGAGGCCGTGTCCGCCCCGTGAGGGTCCCCACACCCGGGCCCCGCAGCTCTTACCGACCAGCAAGCACAGCACGTCGAGCAGCACGAAGACCCACCTCCGCTGCATGCCCGCGGCCCCCGACGCTGCTCCCTGCGCGTCCCGGCCCGGCCGCGGGTCACGTGGCCGCGGAGCCCGCCCCGTGCGGAGGGGGGAGGGGCTTGGGAGAGGAGAGGTGGGGAGGGGAGGGACAGAGAGGGTGGGGAGGGGGAAGAGGGAAGGAGAGGGGAGGGGAGCGGCCCGTGGCACCGGAGGAGCGGGTGGGGCGAGAGTGTGGGCGCCAAGGGGACCGTCCGGCTGGAGTCCGGGGCCCTGACCCGGGCTGTGAGCGTTTCCCAGCTGCGTGCAGTGGTGCCGGGCTCGAGGGTCCCCACGTGGAGTAGGAAGGCGGTGAACTGCAGGACCGCGGGGCCGCAGGGAGAGTGCGCTCTGGCTCCGCAGGAGGGGCCTCCCCCACTATCCTCCCAGGAAGTGGCATCCGCGCTGCGCACCTTGAAACCTCTCGGCACAGTGGCTCACAGCTGTCATCCCAGCACTTCGGGAGGGCGACACGGGCCGGTCACGGGTGGTCAATGGTTCGAGACCAGCCTGGCCAACATGGTGAAACCCCTTCTGTGCTAAAAATACAAAAATTAGGCGGGCGTGGCGGCGCACGCCTGTGGTCCCAGGTACTCGGGAGGCTGAGGCAGGAGAATCCCTGGAACCCGGCAGGCGGAGGTTGCAGTGAGCCGAGATCGCGCCACTGCACTCCAGCCAGGGCGATGGAGCAAGACTCTGTCCCAAAAAATAATCAATTAAAAAAAAAAAATCTTCGAAAGCAGGAAAGGGCCCGTGGCTTCATGACAGGGGTGTTTCTTTTCTCCTAATACTCAAAATCCTGGCGCACGCTTCGATCCCCGCCATGTCAAAAGCTCAGGTTCCTCGGCACCCACCCTGCGGACGGTGTTGGGTGTCCTGGGCGTACCCCATGCCCAGGCACCGTTCCTGCCAGCACACTGGCGATCCCATTTCATGGAAAAGCACGGGGGCATGAGGAGGTGGGAACCCATGAAATGGCGCCGGGGTCTGTGCCCCTACCAGGTCCTGAGAGCCCTGAGCTGAGGGTGCCTGGGGGCTGAGGGCGCCCAAGCCAGGAAACGGAGTCCCAAGGGGCCCACGCTGGGTCCTTTCAGCGGGGACCAGTCGGGATGCCTCAGGAGTGTCAGACCCACCCCTCCCGAGTCCAGCCTTGACCTCTGCCACTCCCGGTCACTTAGTGGGGCGTGGCCAGGCTGGGCCCCCGGGTCCACCGCCACCCTGAACCTTCAGCACCACCATCAGCCCTCTGCCCCAGCAACACCAAAACAGGGTGCGTCTCAGCAATTGGACTTGAGCTGGGAGCTCCTCAGCCCTGCTTCCTGGATGGTCAGACACCTGCACCTGGGGCAAGGGGCTCCTGGGAGACAGCAGAGGCCACGGTGGTGCCGGGTGGGAGGAAAGGGTGCAGGCTGCCCTGTGGCTTCGAGTTCCCCTGCTGCATTCACGGTGGGGCTGGGCGGGGCTGCGGCTCCAGCTCCCGTTGGGATTAGCGTGCCGTGCGTAAATAAATGCTACATAAATGTCGGCTTCAGCGTCCTTGCTGCACTTGGCCCCACACTTCAGCCTGTCTGCAGAAGAGCGACCGATGCTGTCCGTGTAGGCTTCACAGCCCACGCGCACTTTCTGCTACGATGGAGAGGGTGCAGCATCACACTGGAGGCGAGGAAAGGCAGGGTTCTTTATGGAGCACCTACTGTGTGCTGGGGGGCAAGGGAGAGGTCACTTGGAGGGGCTTGCCACTGTGGGAGGGGAAAGACGATGGGGGCTGTGGGATTGGGCCAAGCCAGTTGGGAGACACCCAGGAGAGGGGAGGGGGTAAACCTGGGAGGATAGAGGGTGGGGGTGAGGCTGGAGGCTGTTGCCTTTTCCATCCTTCCCCTTTGGTCAGGATTGGGGTCAGCCCTTAAAATCCCTGGGCAGGACAAGGATTAAAATGTGGTTGGGGAAGCAAGAATTCGGATTGGGGTCAGGATTGGGTTGTCTTCTACATTTGCTGACTGCATCGACCACACTTCAAGGGACTTCCTGTCAGAGCTTTCTCAGCAGCATCTGCTGCCTGGTCCTCCCTTCAGGAAGAACGTGCGGCCAGGGCACCTCCCAGCAGAGACAGAGCTGGCCAGGAGGCCAGGCCTCTGAGCCTTCCTCCTTCACCTGCAGGTGGCAGAGCTGGAAGTGGGTGGCGGTACACAGCCACAAGCTGGGTCCCCTAGAGGCAGGACCACCCCTGGGGGCCCGGCCACCACCCCCAGGCAAGCAAGCTCATCTCCACAGGCTCTGCCACCTCGGTGCCTCACCGCAACCTGGATGGCTCCAGGTCTGCTTCCAAATGGACGCTCTGGAGACTGAGACACCGTGAAGGGGACAGAAGGGGGCCTGGCACACAGTAGATGCCACCTCAGTGCAGCCAGCACTACACCTGCCCTCACTTTGTGTGCTTCTCTGTGACTTGACAGGTGAAGTACCTTGCCCAAGGGTTTCTGGCGTGGGGCTCCTGGAGCCAAGCAGGTACCCATTGGTGGGTCCGACATGCAGGCGGTGGGCAGGGAAGGCAGAGTGGGTGGACCCCTCAGTCTCTCTGTCTGCATAAAGGGGACAAGACAGTAGCTACCACCTGGGCTTGTGGAGAAGATTAAACAGTTGGTGAAATACTTGACCCAGGGACAAACACTAGGAAACATCATTAAACATAATGCGGAGTGGGCGGGTATCACGTGTTTGCTGCCTCAAGATGTAAAAGGCACTTCTTCCCTGGGTGAACACGAAAAAGTGTTGGAAACCGCTGCCTTCAGGGTCAGAATCCAGGACCCCTGAATTCAGAAGCCCGCTAGGACTGTGCAGTCCCTGGGGTGTCCCTTAATGCATCATTGGGTAACCTGACAGTCAGGGACAGGGCAGCCCTACGGGTTTCAGCACTGAGTGTGCTGTGCTCTGTCTGTGAGGAAGTTTGTACTGGGTCATACCAAAGAAAACCACACAGCAGCAGCCCTGCATGCAGAGACACCCCGACCGCACGGTCCCTCCCTGCCCCTCATCTGTAAGCGCTGCGTACCATCACGGTGTGCCCGAGGGCTCACCGTCCACGTCTCCGCCCCCAAGCCCGCACACAGTGGGTGCTCAGGCCATGCGTACTGGGATGGCGTCACCCCCGGAGAATATGACAGCAGCAGTGAGCTCGTTGAGGAAGTTTTAACTGGGTCACAGCAGGACAGCCAAGCAACAGTGTAGGGCAATGGTGTGTTCCCAAGGGGAGAGTTGGTTTCTGCCTGCTTCTTTTTTTAGTAGAGACGGGATTTCACCGTGGTGGCCAGGATGGTCTTGATCTCCTGACCTCGTGATCTGCCTGCCTCGACCTCCCAACGTGCTGGGATTACAGGCGTGAGCCACCGCGCCGGGCCCACACGTTTGTTTATCTGCAATTCAAATCTAAGTGGACATCCTGTATTTTATCTGGCCACCCTACCCAGGAACCACAAGGCCCTCCAGGGCAAGAGGAACAGCTGGGTCAGTTCAGTAGGGACCCAGACAGTCCCACTCCAGAGCCAGGGCATCCTCAGCACAGCCTGGGCCTGGGAGGCTGAGGCTCTGGGGACAGTGGCCAGGCCAGGACCATCAGCTCTGGGCAACTTTCTCCCACCCCTATTCCTCCCCACAGAAACTGTCTCAGGAGGTCCCATCTCCAAGTATGTCCTAGATAAGGCCTGCTTCCTGGCATGGCCACTGACTCTGTCCAGAACAGATTTCGATATTTGATTAGCAGGTAGGAGGTCACAAAAGACCTTCATTTTTAGGATTTTCCTGTAATCTTGGATTGCAGGCACACACCACTACACCCAGCTAATTTTGGTATTCTTAATAGAGACAGGGTTTCACCGTGTTGGCCAGGCTGGTCTCAAACTCCTGACCTCATGAATACAAATTCTTGACCTTTTCATAAAAGGAAAACATTCAATAAACTAACACAAACAAATAATAACTTCCTTATGGCCGTGGAAAAGCTGAGAACAATCAGTTTGTTCTAGAGAGGTACGGGCTCTCCAAAGATTACTGAGACCAAGTCTGGTGGAGGCCCCAATTAGTCCTAGGAGCCTGGTGTGGGGCGAATGCAGAAGAGCCCCAGGGCAGAGCGGGTCCTTCAGATCCCCTGCCTGGGTCTGGGCTGCAGGAAGGGCATGATTTCACCACTTCACGGCCAGCCCAGAGGTGAAGTTGCACTATGCAAGTGGTGACTAGGCTGACCCAGCTTGATTCTCACACGTCAACCCAACTGCTGACGGCCAGGGGCAGGGCCTTCCTGGGGCAAAACAGTATCCCCTCCACCCCTTACCTGTCTTACGCACATCTAGGGCACCCGCAGAAACAGAAGACACCACCAACAGGAACGTGCTCAGTCAACCAATGACATCCACACAGGACACCACGAACCGGAACGTGCTTAGTCAACCAGCAACATCCACGCAGGACACCACGAACCGGAACGTGCTTAGTCAACCAGCAACATCCACGCAGGACACCACAAACAGGAGCATTCTTAGTCAACACACGACATCCCCTAAGTGAGCAATGGTCTCTCCCGCCTCCAACCTAATATTCCAAACAAATCAAACCTCTCTGAAGCATGTCTCCACTCCAGCTAAAAAAAAGCACTAAGGCTCCCCACTGCCACTCCCTGGTTTCAGATTCCTCAGCCTAAGAGGGACGGCATTCCCGCACTGCCCTCCTGACCTCCGTGCTCACCCCACACAAACAGGACGCTTATGCCTCTGGGTGGCTGCACCCAGATGGCCATGGGGTACTCCCTCTTGCTGTTCCTTCTCCATGAGGCCCGCCCCACTACTGAAGTGAACAAGGGACCCAGGCCCAGCCAACCAGAAAACCCCCTCTGTTCGGCAGCTCCTGATTCAAGTGTGGGCACAAGACCCAGCAACCAGGTTCACCCAGGAGTTTTATGGGAACGGTTGTTCAAGACTCAGGCTTCCCACAGAAATCACAGGTGCCAGGTTGTGTGCCTGGGGTTACTGGTGCCACCTCAGTCACCACAATGGGAACTGCACCTGAGAATAAGGTCAGT